TAAATAAAAGTCTAAAATATAAAGTATTTTACTTTAATTTACTTAATTGAGTTTAAATGTTAATATAAGGTTGTCTTTATTATTCTCTTGAGTAAATTTTTATTACTACTTTATTATTTATTATAAATTCATCTATTCTATTCATCTTCTTGTAAATAATTTTGTATTGTTCTTATGTAAGGTTTTTATTTCATTGTTTATATTAACCATTACATTACTGTTATCTATGCCTGTTATTGTATAAGGACCTGAATATGGACTAGTACCTTTTCGTGTACCATGCGTTTTTACTAATACTTCATCACCTATTTTCAGTTTTGCTGGATAGCTGTCTTTTTTAGATATTTCTTTTCGTTTAGCTTTTGCTTCTATGCTATACTTTCTTGCTTTCTCTAAGGATAGCCTGAGTCGTGCTTTTAGTTCGTTAGCGTAATTATCTAAATTAAATCTACCTTGTGTATCATTTATCTTTTCGTTTGGTAAGGATGGTAACTTACCAAATACCAGCTCATGTGGTGTGTAACCTGTATCAGAGTGGGGGGCAGTATTGTACGCAAAAGTATAGTACGGTAACCAAACGTTCCAGTCGTTATCATCAGCAAAGTTTAGTAGGTATTCGTTTAGAACTCTATGGTTCCTTTCTACTGTACCAAGTGTTTCATGATGATATGGGGTTGAAAATATTTGTTTAATTCCCATAATATCAGTAACTTTAGCTAACAAATCATTCAAAAATTCTGTACCTCGGTCTGATTTTAGAATCCTAAAGGAACCGAACTTTAGTATGAGTTGTTCTACTAATGTTTTGGCTATGGATGTAGCATCTTTATTAATCATTGGGTATGCAATTATGAATCTACTTAATTCACATTGCATAGTTAATATATACCTATAACCGTTCGCTGGTCTTAAAGGCCCAACGGTGTCGATTTGTACCGTTTCGAAAGTTGTATGAGGGGTTGTGGTTATTTGAAATTCTTCTCGACTGTGACGGATTTGTTTGTTTTGTTGGCATTTTTCGCAAGTGGTAATATATTTATATACCATTTGTTTCATTTTCTTCCATGTGTATCTTTGTTTAAGTTTTATCATCGTTTTACGAACTCCCATATGACCGCTGAGAGGGTTATTATGATATTCCTCTATCAATCTAAATATTTGTATTGTATCTTTCACGTATTCCGGCTTTTTGTATAACAATATTTTTAAACAATTCTTACTTTTATTATTTTGTTGCAACTTATTTATCATCGTCTTAAATTCATTTTTATCCATGGATTGAAATATAGTATCATCATCTGCTAACGCTAGCTGTAAAATATTTAATCTTTCTATTTGTGTAATAAGCTTCACCATAATCGAAATCGGCTTCGGAGGTACTTCGCATAATTCCACTATAACTTCTTTATCGTTATATAATATGGATGCATCCTTATTTCTTTGTATATTTTTCGTTTTAAACTGCAGTTTTCTTACTCCACGAATGTCGCTAATTGAAGTACAATTCCAACAATAGAGTTGATCAGGCTCAGTGGTTCTCGTATTCAATTTCGTATCCGTATTAGTTGTATTTGTTTTAGC